ACTGAAAAGCTACAGTAGTAACTACTGAGGCACAAAGAGGGACACACAATGACAGTCACACAGCATTATGCATGACTCAGCACATTATACGGTGGGCAGCAGAGTCAGTGCTTACAAAGGGGAGTGGGCAGTATGCCTGCCACAGTGAGACCAGAGCAGATCAACAGGCCAGGCATGGCCCACAGGTGTGAGACTGCGCCTCCACACAGGCCACCTCTACGTGGTTTATGGGAAAACCTTCCTAAGTGCCCCAGACAAATGCATGCCAGTCACTCAAGTATTCCTCAGCTTCAAAGACAGGCCACATACTGATACGCTATGGATGCCAAACAACAGAGATCTTGCTCCACAAAGTCTGGGGTTCTGTGCGGACTGATGGCATTAGTTTGTAGGCATTTAACAAAAATTATACATTTATTCCAGAGTGTAAAGTCAACAAAATATGGAACTGTGTCTAGTGCTAATAAACTCAAATTCCATTCAAGTGTAATTATTAACCAAAGCATACATATGATAAAAGTCAATTTACACTATTGTTTTTAAAAATCTTGTTTAATATAGGTATGATTCTACCCTTATAGTGACCTGATTCTACCCTTATAGTGACCGATTTTAAAAGTTTTTCCAAAGTCAATTTTATTACTGATGAATACAAAAGCCCTTTCAGATCTATTTATTTCCTTTGGGAAACAATATGAAACACTAATATTACAGAAACCAGAAACCTTCTAGCTTGAAAGTCTGGCAGATGCCAAAGGAGACATAAAAATAACTGCAGAAGACATACAGATGGCCACTAGGTAAACAAAGAAATGCTCAGCATCAGGGAAATGCAAACCAAAACCTCAATGAAATACCACCTCCCTCCATTAACAGCGGCTCTTATCAAAAAGACAAAAGACAACAAGTGTTGGCGAGGATGTGGAGAAAAGGGAATTCTTGCTCACTGTTGCTGGGGTGTAAATTAGTGCAGCCACTCTGAAAAACAGTAAGAAGGTTCCTCAAAAAATTAAAATCACAATTACCATATGAGGCAGCAGCCCCTCTACTGGACACAATCCAAGGAAATGAAATCAATCCGTCAAAGAGACACCTGCACTCCCACTCTTACTGCAACACTATTCACGTTCATAATAGCCCAAAGCTGGAAATAACCTACATGCCCACCAATGGATGAAAGGATAGAGAAAATGTGCTTACACACCATGGAACATTATTGAGCCATCAAAAGAATGAAATCCTGTCATTTGTGACAACATGGATGGAACTGGAGATCACTACATTAAGTGTAGTAAGCCAGGCACAGAAAGGCAAGTACATGGCAACTAAAACAGTAGACTTCCTGTAAGTTGAGAGTGAAGTGGTGGTTAGCAGAGGCTGGGGAGAAGAGAAGGGAGGCAGAGCAGGCAAAGTTTAGTCAATGGGTGTAAATGACAGTGAGACAAAAGTAAGTGCTGTGTGCTACTGCACAGTAAGGACTGCACAGATCAGCTGCATCAGTAAGAATTACACACAGTGTAAGGAAATGAGTAATTTCAACCACTTCTGACAGAAGGGCTAAAAAAACATGGAAGACTGCAAACAAAGGACTAAAGAAACTCTTTACTGCAAATTCTAGCAGCATGACAGCCTGCACCATCCTGAAGCTCAAACACATTTGCAGCTGACCAAAGCAGCCTGAAACATCTTCCCAACTCACTATTTCCTTGTGAGCATGTGCTTGTAGAGACCCCAAATGATGGATACACAGGCACCAACTACAGCATCGCTTGTAACGGCAAATGCCTGGAGACAATCTAAATACCCATCACAGAATAATTACTAAACTGTGCTTTCTCTAGACAGTGAAGCAAAGTAGCTGTGTAGGTACTGACACAGGAAGATAATGTAACATGCTGGGGGAATCAAAGCACAGGAACAATATTTCTTAGGGACTACCTTCTAAAATTGATCGTGTACATAGATCTTACTTCATATATCCTTCCACATATTTTTCTGCAGATGTATTTTTCCCCAGATGTATTTATATATGCAAAAAGGTCTATAAATGACATTTAAGCCTAATTCCTGGGAGACATGAGGGTACATTTTATATACTTTATTATTCGAATTTTTAAACTAAAGAGCATGTTCTGAATTTTCCTAACTTTTAACTACAAATTAACTTTAAATCATGTAAGTCCATCCAACTTTCTCTTGTTATCTCCACAAAATACAGTGTCTTTGCATCAATCCTAAACTCTCTGGGTCCTATGAGAGATCTCAAACGCCCATACCCCATGAAAGTACTGGTACATATGGATTCTAAACAACCAGAAGTGACCTGAAATCAAGCAGTTTAAAGATCTGTCAACAGAGGAGTCTGGTCGCTGTGATATTATTTGTCTGTGGTCAAATATGCCATCTCCAAAATCAAACTCTATCCCCATCACCACAACAATGGACAACAGTCCCTAAGAAATATTGTTACTGTGCTTTTATTCCCCAGCATGTTACATTTATCTTCCTATGTCAGTACCTACATAGCTACTCTGTTCTTTTTAGTGGAAAAATGGAATTCCATCTCCTGGTTCCTTTCCCACACATAACTGCTCTTTTTTTCACTCCAAGCATGAGAATGTCCAGGTCTTCCAGTTTCCCACCAAGAACCTCCCTCAGAGCAGCAGCTTCAAAAACTCAAGTTCTTACCACAGGAAGTTAAGGACAATCAGGGGATGTCTTTCTACTCCATCCTTTAGGATCCATCCAGCAACGGAAAAATAAAATCTAAAAACAAACTGTGAATCCCAGAGCCTCAAAAAATGCAATGGCAGATTTAAAATAGTAGTGCAAGCTGGCCATGGGAGCACACACCTGTAATCTCAGCACTCTGGAAGCCTGAGGGAAGGAGGGTACAAGTTTGAGAACAACTAGGGCAACCTATGAAGACACTATCTCAAAATTAAAAGCGGGGCAGTGGCTGGAGATGTAGCTCAGTATGAAGGTCTTAGACTCAATCCTCAGTACAGCTCTCCACACGTACAAAATAGTGCAGCAGTTTTGTTGGTTTTTTAACAGACATGTTCTGATGGTTCCTTTACAAAGAAATCAATATGGTGGACAAGCCCAGTTCCAGATACTGTTGAGATAGAAGAAAAGACAAAGCAGACCCTACCATATTAACAGTTATGAACACTGGCTGCATGTTACGATCTTCACGGCTGTAACTTCTGATGTTTCTATAACAGACATACATAAACTATGTCATGCTTTATAAAAAATGATACCAGCTAAGACCCACATAGAGCTGAAAAAACTGGAGAAGAATGCACAGTTCTAATGCCTCTGTCACAGGCTCCTAGGGAACCTTTTGAAACACTGCTGGCATCTTGGAAATGAGGAGAAATATTACCTCCCCTGGGAAAATTTCCCTGATTCCCAGAGCCAAGTTAATTGCTCACTTCTGAATATTCCCCTAGCGCCCTGTTCCTCTACTATTACCCTACCACACGTATTACTTCTGCACTGACATACTTTATTTACACATCTCCATTTCCCCACTCAATTGCAAGCTCCTCCAGGACAAGGAGAGCAAGGTATCGATTTCTGCAATCCCATGACAGCACCTGCAATAGAAGGAGTTGGTGTTTCTTAAATGCACACGGAATGTCCTTGCTGCGCATCCACTCACATATTTAATTAAACCCCTGCAATAAACGGATCTCTACTGAGGCCCTCGTACCCACGGTGTGCTTCAGGGAAACTAAAGTCTCATGCACCTGGGAACAACCCCCAACACTTGCCCCCTCACTTTCTAATGTCACCATGACAAGGATGAGAACAGGCACACAGCTATCAGTTTAAGAAACACACCCAACAAGAGAAAGCAAGAAAGGGGCCAAAGAGAGAGGCTGCACTGGGATGAGAAGGCCCACTCCCCACACAGGGATCCCCACATTACTAGCAATGCCGTAATTCTAAGGATGAATGTGCCCAGAGGGGTGTTCATTTTCTTCTTATTCCTTTCACATAGTATCAAAGGTTATGAACGATTGTATTCACTGAAACTACTAAGCCTCTTCAAAAGATTTCCCACTATTCACTGATTTAATAAATATACTTCAAACATCAACTATATTCTGAGCACTGTTTTTGGGTGTTCAGATGTAAGTCAGTCTGTAGCTCAACGGGTCTGCAGTCAAATGTGGCAGACACATAAACAGATATGACCCACTGGATACTGTGCTGATTACAAAAACGTTCCTTATTTGATGAGAACCTATAGAAATGGCTATGCAACCATCTCCATAGCTTTCCATTTCCACAGAGGACGCGGAAAACTGCAGGACAACCCATGCCAGGAGGGAAGACCAGTGTGCAACCAAAGCACAGCTCAAGACTCAACAATCAGCACGTCATTGACGTCAGGAGTCCCCAACCCCTGGACCAAGACAGGTCTGTGGCTTGTTAGAAAATGGGCCACACAGTAAGAGTGAGCAGCAAGCAACTGACACTTCATTCCCCACAGCTCTCGTTACTGCCTGAGCTCCGCCTGCGCTCAGACCAGGGTGGACCTCAGATCCTCATAGAAGCCCGAAAGCCCATGAGCTGCACATGTCGGGGCAGTCTAGGTTGCACACTCCTTTGAATCATCCCCAAACCATCCCCAACCCACCCCAGCCCCAATTTGTGGCGAAGTTCTCTGCCACAAAACAGGTCTCTGGTGCCAAAAAGGTTGGGGAACACACATTAAAATGATTAAAAAACTATCAGGCCATCTCCTATAGGAACTAGGGTTCCTTTTCTTTATTTTTCATTCTTTTTCACATGTGTTTTATTGTCTGGGGAGCTCGTTATAACTTCTCATACACAGAGCCCCACAGAGTTAAAAAAAAAATGTAAAATATGAGTCAGCTAAGCTCTGATAACTTAAGCTGCATCTTCTCGTGGAGCCACCCCGGGGGGAAAAGCCCACACGCTGAATTCAGTTAGCGCTGGAAGGCAGCCCTCCATCTGCTTACCACGTGTGTTGGTGGCCATGTCAGCCACTTTCTGAAAGGCATCCAAGAAGGCAGCTGCTGCTACTACTGTTGTCCTAAAATGCAAACAGATAACAAAAGCCTGAGGAATGTCTCACACTGGTAAAGTCATCACAGCTCAAGGGCTGAAACCACCGCTCTGGACTGAACGTCAGCTTCCAAGAGAAACAATCCAACTGGACACAGACAACCCAGGTGCCCTGGCCCCTTTCCCTCTTCTTCTTCCTTCCCACACCACCCCAATGATGTCCAGTCACCCACTGCTAGTCAACAAATACAAACCCTTCTTCCTCTTCCCTTCCACCTGACTATACAGTTACCAGGCAAAATTCTGCAAAGGAGGAAAAGAGGCATTTTTATCCAAAAGAAAAATCATCAAAACATATAAATGGTATAGAGAAAACCAGCTTTAGAGTAGGAAAATAATACATATACACATGAATTGGAAGAAGGACCAACTTGGGAGAGATCACAGAGTTCACCAATTCATTGCAGTGAAATGAAAACTGAGGCCACAAATCCAAAGGGACTTTAAAGACCATCAGTTCATACCAGAGCTGGGACTGCGAGCCAGCATGGTGTCTTACAGGCCCAGTTCAACCCAATGCAATACAAGGTCCTGGCAGGGCGACTCTTCTCCCTAAACCCCAATTAAAATGAACTAAAGTTTTATTTTTTCAATTAGGATGCTATTTAAACTGCACTTTCTGAATTTCTAAAAGCTGAAAATGGAGAAAATTTACTATACTTATATTACATCCTACAAATGTTTTGCATTCTTAACATCCTCTTGAGTGCTCTGTAGCCTGCTGGTTCCTAGAGGTGGGACCCAGGAAATCATGCAATAAAGGACAGGTGACATTCCATGCCTCAGCCATAACTCCAAACTAAAAGGCCCCAGAACCAGTGCTCAAGGACTTTATAACCAGACTCAGAGCTTGACGCCAGTCTCTCAGTGTGTCTTATGTGGTGCTACTCTCTACTGAACACATCTGAGAAGACAAAGCTGCTGAAGGGAGAATAACACTAAGAACTAGAAAGTAAAGAGTTTAAAATGGAGAAAGAAGCCGGGCGTGAAGGCGCACGCTCCCAGCACTCGAGAGGCTGACGCAGGAGGATCGTTCCAAGTTTGAGACCAGCCTGGGCTACAGAGTGAGCTCAACACCAGCCTGAACGGCATAGCGAGACCCTGTCTCAGAAAGATTAAAAAAAAAAATGGAGAAAGGAAAAAAATAGCCATGAAACAAAAGGTTCCTGAAAAGTGCTGCAAGTGGTCCCTTAGGGCCAAACTTCAAAACGAGGTCTGACAGTTTCCAGTAGGGCAAGGAAAATTTTTTAAAAATGACATACATACATACAAAATTCTTCTTTGAAACATATTTTTTAGAGTTGACATCAAATGTAAACCCTGGAAAAGTCAGCTTTATCAAACATCCAGGGATTTATAAATAGCTCATTCTGATTTACAATTAGCATCTGACATAACGGCTGCATTTATTCTCACTGGACTTGATGTCAATCCTCCAAATTTCCTGAGCCAGATGTAGAGGTGCCTTGTATATTACAGAGTCACTAAGGCTCCAATGTAAATTAGGGTAGAGGACAATTCTGAGGAAGTAAGAGCTTTTAAATGACAGTCACACTGCACTTCTGACACAGGCATAAGACATCTGGAGTGGTTTAGCTTAACTGCACCAAGACTTACATGCTTACTCTGCAGTCTTTATCCCTTTTCTAATACAGAAAATTAAACTCTGAGCCATATGCTAGTACTCTGACAAAATAATAAAGAAATAGTCCCCACCCTCAGCAGGCCTAAACGTTTTTTTAAAACTGAATAGGATGCACCCTCTAAGAGCAGGGCTAAGATTATTTTAAGTTTTATTAAGTCATGGGTGTCCAACCTTTGGTTCACCTGGGTCGCACTGAGTGAACAGTCTTACGCTGTATAAATAATATTATCATAGTTAAAATATATGAGCAACAAAATTTTTTTGATATTCTTATTTAAAAAACTTTTAAAAGAGGGCACGTGGCTCCGGTTAGCCAGGGTATGTTCCAGATAGCTTACAAGTTTATTAAGCTTTAGCATCCTCACTAGCAAAAGGGAAAGAAAACAGTTTTCCTGGTCAACCCTGAAAGCCTTCCAGAAAACTAAAGAAGGCTGAACAAGTGGGCTGGGCATGGTGATAATGTGCCTAAATGTTTTACTGCAATAGAAGACCTCCTACAGGACGTAGACTAACCTATCTAAAAACCACAGTGAGCTGGTATGGTGGCACACACCTGTAATCTCAGCACTCTGAAAGGACGGGAGAAGGAGGGTAAGTCTGAGCCCAGTCTGGGCAACTTAGCAACTTGGCAAGACTCTGCCTCAAAATAAAAAAAAGGGCCAGGGATGTAGAGCAATGTAAAGGCTCTGGGTGTGCTCCCCAGTACCACCAAATGAATGAATGAATGAAGTAGTGATTAACTAGGTAGGGGAAGAGATGCAGCTAATGAAGGTGAGTCTGGTGAAGCTGTGTGAACTCCACGCTGAGGAGACTATAATTACAAGTTCTGGAGTAGGGAAATGGTAAAGGCCTGGGCACCTGGAGAAGGCACCATACTCCAGAATCCACAGTCCACCTGTAGGCCCACTTGGGACTCTGTAAATCCAAGCACCCCAGAAGCTGAAGGAATGACAGAAAAAACGCTCATCCCTCTCCAGTTCTTCTCTGCCCCCCTGGAGGGGTGCCGTGGAATCTGCAGTCCTATGGCTTAAGCTCCAGGCAGCACCCTCTGATGTGCCCAAGGCTAAGGTGGTGAAAGCCACAGTGTCCCCCATCATTTTCCTGGCGTCCACAGGGCTCTTTATCCTGGAAACACCTCCTGACCCTGCTGCTCTCTGAACCTTCCTCATCCCTCCAAACTACTGACGTCATTTCCCAAATTTCATGAATGAGAATCACCCAAATAATTACTTGTGACCCTCACAGGGCACCCATTGAGCACAACAGTACCCTTTTCTCCACACTGATTTAAACGGTGGAGCTTCAACAAAGAGATGCTGGTACATTTCCTATCATCTGAAATGATTTGTCCCCATGCACACGGGGCAGCAGTGACAGCTTCTCAAGGCCAACAGCAGGTCTCGTGTTGTTTAAGCGTCTTTACTAAGGAAGGCATAGTTTGCATACCACAAAATTCACCCTTTCTAAGCATACTATTCTATTCAATGATTTTTAGTAAATGTAAGAGTTGTACAACCTTCACCACAATCCAATTTTAGAATATTTCTACTGCCCCAGAAAGATCCCTCTTACCCACTTTCAGCCAATCTCCTTTGCCATCCACAGAACTGGGCAACCACTAATGTACATCTGTCTCCACAGATATGCTTTTCCTAAACACTTCACGTAAATGAAATTATATCCCAGTCAACAGTGGGTTTTACACCCTTTATAATGAAAGGCAATAAAGATAGATAAGAATTCAGACTCTAGGAGCATACTGCCCAATTCAAATCACAGCTCTGTCATTTACTAGAGAATAACTACAGGTAGTCTAGCTTATCTGTGCCTCAGTCTCCTCATCTGCAAAACAGGGCTGGTAACTGAATTCATGTTATAGGTTGTAAGATCTGAACAAGTTAATATACTTCTGACTCGTCGTGAGAGCTATATAAATTCCTGTGGAAGGAGGCAGAGCAGACATGAGTCCGATTTTACGTGGAATCGGGCAAGGACACATGGTGAAACAAGTGGTCATACTTCGGTCAGAGAACCCACTATGTGCTTTTCTGTCTGTAATTTTGCCCAGAGTAACCTCCAAGTACATGTCGGTCCATGCCACCCCCATCTGTTCCAAGGAAGCTGCCTTTGCCTGTGGAACACAGGCCTCTACTTACCGCAGCTGGGACTGCAGCTTTCCTGCTTTGTTTATAAAATCTTCCCAAACTGGATAGCTCCCCTGCAACAAAACAAAGCCATCGGTAAGTCACACTGCAACAGGCATCTGACTGCGACATGAATAGAACACCCAATTCTAATTATACGGAGGAAACAATCCGTGAGGCTGTCTTCCTTTGCTGTGCCTCTGATATGCTGCCCAGACCATATATACATGGGTTGGCTCAGAAACGGATTTAGAATGCGCTCACGCCCTATCATCTTGCAAACATTACAGGCACTGATGGGAAATAGCTTGGCAAAACTCTAACACATACACTTTTGAGTCAGTAGATAGTGGCTCCAAATTTAAGATATATAGAACATCTGAGGCTCTATCCTGAACCACATGCTCATGTGAGGTGGCCCTGGCTGTGCTCACCTTTGTCCCACAGCAGGGGGGAAGGACCTGGAGTGACCCGGACTCCTTCTCAGGACAGGTGGCTCTCAGGAAACATTATCAGACTATCAGAATTTCAGGGTGGCAAACTGACCTAAATATGGCTGCTTAGCTGATGGCTTAGCCCCAGTGTCTATGGATAGCACAGCAACAGGTAGCTCCCCAGCACACCGGGCAAGAAGGAATGCATCACTCTGCCAGGACAGCCCTGTCAGTCACCCTGTCCTTGATGCCTATGCAGCTATCATTCCAGCCCTCTAGGAGCCCTGAGAGTTAACACTGATAACCCTGCTTCCACACTGAAGTCTCGTCAAAGTCCAGTGCCAAATCTCATCCCACTTCCAGAAGACTCTGTTGCCCGCCCCACAGCATGCTAGAAACGATCCATCGGGTCTGCCTGCTTGTGAGTACGGCACTCAGGCAAAAACTCAAATCTGTGGGTGCAACTCCGACCAAGGCAACCCAGCGCACAAGCTGACACCTCCCTTCCCTTACACACTGAATGTCTGAGATCAAACAGCAATCTACCAAGGGGTGACCCAGCAAAGGGTAGGCCACGGTTAGAGATGGGGTATTCGGCACTGTAACAGAAAACTAAGACCAAATACGTGGGATTACAATTGCACAACAGAATGTAGGTTAAGAACCTTGACAAGGCAAAACTAACATATGCTGCCTCTTCATTTTACTGTCGAGGAGGAGAGGGGTAATCAAATAACATTAATCACTCCATCTATCCTTACAGAAGCCCAATCAAAATTATCTAAAACTATAATTGATTAAAAAGTGAAATTGTTGTTATAGCTCAATCTCTCTCTCTTTTTTTTTTTAAGTCTTTTTGAGACAGAGTTTCACTATGTAGTTCAGGCTGGCCTTGAACTCACAGCCATCCTCCTTCCTCACCCTCCAGAGTGCTGGGATTAGAGGAGTGTGATCAATTTCTTATCTGACCCTCGCAGTTCAGTTTCTCAGACTTGGCAATGCCTGGCATTTGGGGCTATGTAACTGCTTGTTGTGAGGGGCTGTGCTGGCTCTATAGAATGTTCAGCAGCATCACCGACCTTCGCCTACCAGACACCAGAATGCTCCAGCCCCTAGACATGACAACCCACAACATCTCTAGACATTGCGAGATGACCCCTAGGGGGCAAAAACTCCCCCAGTTCACAATCACTGTCTTACAGAGACTTCTGAGAAATGAATTTATTGCCATGAAGACACAGTTATTTGAAGTTCAGCAATTTTGTATTACTTTATGTTAGTTTCGTTGTCTTCTGTCAAAAGAATTAAATATGGTTTTGTTTTGAAAATAATATGCTTAGAAGGGACATCTTTGTTATAAAATTTCCTATTTATATATTTCTCTAGCTATCAAGTCTGTCTGAAAACGTGTACAGAGCCATTTAGAAAGTGGTCTGATCAACCATTAAATAGGTTACCTCCAGAAGCTAAGATTTAAACCAATGTGCTACTTTTCTCTTTGTACTTTCCTTTATGTCTAGAGTTTGTTTTGTTCTTATAAGGATCATTATCATTTTAATGAAAACAATAAAGTCATTATGAAAAGAATTTAAGATCGAATTAGAGGTTCTGGCAACAACAGCACCGTGAATTTACAATCTGCTTCACACATGGTGCTAGATCACGTCAGCTCTGCATGTGTGCACCCGAGACCTGACTGGCCAAGCAGCGTCTCTGGATTGACTCCTCTCTGGCCGCCACAGTGTGCTCACAGGAGACACTGAGCGGCATCAAGCAGAGATCCTGTCTGACTGGCTCCTGGGGGAAGCCTCTGGCAGCTACACCTGCGCTATTGCCAGCAGCACCTAGGCATCCTATGTTTGTTCCTTGGGAATTTCTTCAACCCCAAAATGGAAGTGTGTATCATTGTGCACTACTGAAATCTCCATCAGTCCAGGCCCAACGCAACATCACGAGGATCCCAATTTTAGTATTTACCATGTTCGTCCCAAGTCCAGAGATGAACAGCCCCTCAACATCTCCACCCACGTAACTAAGGAGCGGGGATCGAAGTCTTCTGACTGGCAATTAGGACCTCTGTCCAGAGGTCACCTTCATGGGTATCAAGCCTCACTCAGTCTCATCTAGCCAGTCTCTCTCTTCCTAATCCACAAAACCCAGGGAAGAGCTTTTTTTTTTAAAGAAAATAAAAATTTTTTTAAAAAACATTACAAACAATACACAATTTCAAAACAAGATGATAGCAAATCAGTAATGGTTGTTATATTGCATACAGTCATCTTCAAAAAAGTTGTTCAGATTACCAGCTACAGGCATGTAAAATTGGTCAAAAAAAATTAAGCATTAACTGTTCCTTTCAATGAACAGGATGCCCAGGTGCTGTTTTCAATGAACCAACAGAAATTACTAGTATAATTTCTGTATGTATGTGTGTGTGTGTGTGTGTGTGTGTTTGTGTGTCTATATCTATATCTATATCTATATATATATATATATTTCTCTTCCTTCCTTTTCTCCTTTCCCTAGCAGTTTCTTTCCCTTTCACAATAGCTATTGTACCTTTTGGATTGTATTTACACTTTCAGGTTCTCACACTACCACATTTACACATGCAGGTCTGACTTATCTCACCTATGAATATGGTCTCTACAGAGCTTTTCAAAAAGCTTAAGGATGTCTAGAAGCATTGCCCACTACTTCCCTCTTGCCACGTGACAATGTCAGCTCATTTGACCTCTTTGTGGGGACGTCATTACTTCACAAAGTTGGTACCAGGAATAAATGACATCACACATTTATGTCATATACATGCACTCCCACATTTACTGTGACACTGTTTATGACAGCTAGGAAGTAGAATCCTCCTAAGTGCCCATCAATCGGTGAATGAATAAAGAAAATGCAGTGTATCCACACAACAGAATAGTACTCAGCCATAAAAGTAAATTCTGTCATTTCCAACAACATGGGCAGATGTGGAGAACATTATTTTATGTGAAATACACCTGGCACAGACAAGTAGCACATGGACTTCTGTGAAATTTTAAAAAACTGATCTTACAAAAGGAGTAACATGGTGGTTACCAGCAGTGTGGGTGTTTAAGAGGTGGGAGGGATGGGAAAATGCTGGCCAAAGGAAATATAATTATAGCCAGATAGGAGGGAGAAGAAAATGCAGAGAAGGCAAATATATAGACACAAATAAATAAACAATTGCCTGGGCCAGGTTTACCAGGGTATGCTGGGGGATGAGTGTTACAGTCTAGATCTAAAACGTCCCCTAGAAGTCGTAGGTGTTTGGAAGTCTCACGTGACTGGATTACTGAGCGCTATATTCATCAGTGGATTCATCCATTGATAAGTTCAGTAGCTAAATGTGCTCTTAGGAGGTGGGGCCTGGCTGGAGGTAAGGTGTGACTTGGAATCAAATATTCTCATTCCTGGTTCCTCCCTTCTCTCTCTACTTCCTGGCTGCCACTGAATGAAGCGACTTTCCTCTACCATGCTCTTTCACCTTTCATTGTGCATTTCTGCCTTCGGGCTAACCATGGACTGAACCCCTTGGAAACTGTGAGCCAAATAAACCTCTCCTTTAAGTTGTGTTAGGAACTGTGTTCCAGGGACAGGAAATGACTGGACAGGAAATATAGTGGGGACTGGAAATGGCTGGTGAAGGTTACGGAACTTCTATCTTGGGTGATGAAAATATACTGAAATTGATTATGGTGCATGGTCAGTTGTACAATGCTGAACATACAAAAAAACCAATGGGTTGTACCAATGTAAATGGGTGACATACATGATATGTAAATTATATCTCAAAAGAGCTGTATGAATAAACAAATTAGGTAATACATAAAAAGGGGCTCGGTGCAGTACCCAACACACAGAAAGGCACACATGTGACATGACAGATCCGAGTACTCAAAGGCTCCAGGTAATCTCACTCAGCGTGTTATGGGGAAAGATGCTAAAAACTGTCTAATGAAACCATGCACCCAGGCCAAGGCCTGTCTTTCTCAGCCCTAAGTGCAGAGCCAGCTCAGGTGGGGAGCAACACACACCTCAGGGTAACCACAGTTAAGACAGCAACACACCAAGGTGGATGGGAGTGCATTGCCAGATGATGTGTCTGCCACTCCTGAGAAAATGGCAGAATGGAATACTCAACCTTGAGATGAATGTGCCTTCCTGAAGACGATGACAGCCCAAACCACTTAAAAAACTACTTATCTGCCCCCACTTGGAGCTTCATCTCAGTCTTTACCAAATTAGCAACCAAAGGATGGCCCCCTCTCTCGTCTAGGGGTACAGCACACAGCTCCCCACCTACGAACACCCACTCAGCTAGAAGGCTGCCAGAAGAAGCTCTCTCCTTTGACAATCTATCAGAGAGTGTCAAGCCCACCTGTTTTAAGCAGTATGTAATTTAATGAAGTCTTTAAAAAACCAACTTCTAAGAACAGAAGACAAAAACCTCCTTGTTGGGAAATGAAAAAAACAGTGTGTAAATGTTATTAAAACTGAAAGGCAAGGTGATGTTGGGTTATTCCAGATTTTTTTATAAGTTTCTTTCAAGGAAAAAAGTTTCTACCTGAAAGTACTTTTACTACAAAAATTCAAAAGCTCAGAGGTTGTGA